CTCGGCGTATCTCAACAGCAGGTATTCTCTCTGTCAGTATAAGTATACTTTGGACGAGTCCATCTTGTGTAAAAAGGTGAGAGTCCCACAACAGTCGTAATATTCACTTACGTGCAAATACCTTTGGGTAAGATAGGAATCCACCTCTTCTTCCACCATCTATGGGTTAATTAGTAAGATTTGTATTACTAAATCATTATTATCTCCCTCATCCTCCGAACAATGACAATCTAAATTTTCTAGCTTTAAATGACCTGCAAAAGTGTTGATAAGCAAACGAAATCAATCGAATTAATCGATTAATAGGGACGAAGATCGATTTAGGATGATCGATGAGTAATAGCAAAGGCATTGATATTGCATTGGAAATTTGTGAGTTTCAGTCAAAAGTCAACGCTATTTATTTATTTCGCCCTCCGAGTATTTATCGACTCTCTGGATAGTTTCATCGATCAGCTGCGATCGATATTGACCAATTTGATGACCCCTGAATTGGTAGTGTGCACTGGGCTCTATGCTAATCTGGCCCCAGGTTGGCAAGAGTAGATCATCGAAAATCGATCAGGCTTTACAAACGTATTTTACTAAATGTCGCTTGATAGCAAGTGTTTTCTGTTTTGACAGTAACGATCTGAGAAAATATCCAGATGCTTTCGTACTGTGAAAATTGCCAGTACAGGTTAATTTAAATAAATAAATAAAAACTAAAAACAATGAAACGCCTGCTAAAATATGGGTAAGCCAGAGCTCCTTCTATACATTTAGAGGTACGTGATAAAATTCAAAGATGAATCAGCAATATTATTGGTCCTTGCCTGACATATCGGCTTCAGACTCTTTCCCGCCCGCCGTATTTGCTTCCCTGTGCTTGTAATAATTATACTTTCATGGTAATTGTTCAGATGGGATGTAAATATTCATCGGGGTTAGATTTTAAATTGTTGTTTTATGCCCACCCCCACCAGACATGCATTTTACTTATGGGGACTCGTTAGATTTTTTTTTTCATAGAGACATTGAGGTATCATAGTGTTTGGGGTCAGAATGGTAGGTAAGAATGCGTTGTTTTGGTGTTGGCAATATTCTGGTATGTTTAGGTCAGTGATTGTGGCTAGCTAAGTTGAAATTTAAGAGAGAAGAAGACCGTCCTTTTCCCCATTCCCAATTTCGGCCTTGTGCCACATTTTATATTTTACGATATAAATATCACTCTTCTCTATGGTACATAGACTTTATGAATTTAAGCGCAGTACTAGACTGGCAATAAGGTCTCATCAATTTAAAGTTCAATTGGCTAGATATACTTAGTACTATTCTAACTGTTTTTTTTTCTTGTGCTTCGCGCTTGTGGAACTCTCTACCGGCTTCATGCTTTTCAGCCAAAATTGATCTTCAACAATTTAAATGCAATGTCAATCGTAATCTACTGTCTTCCTGATTACTCTTCTATTGTTCTCACACAATTTTCGCTTGTGGAATTCTCTTCCGAATTTATGCTTTCCAGCCAAAATTGATCTTCAACAATTTAAATGCAATGTCAATCGTAATCTACTGTCTTCCTGATTACATTTCTATTGTTCTCGCTCCTCAGTAATGCTCTTGTTTTCTAATTCTCTCACGTCCAGTAACCACTTGTGTGTTAGTGGCTTTACTACCTTGCTTTGGGTGAATTCGTTTAAAAAACATATCCAGATTTTTGTACTGTGAATATTGCCAGTATAGTTAATTCAAAAAGTATGTGATGCATGATAAAATCCAAAGATGAATCAGCAATGTTATTGATTCTTTCACATACAGTAACCCCTTGTATCTTAGTGGCTTTACTGCCTTGGGGTAAATTCGATTAAAAAAAAAAAAAATTTCAAATGTCTTTATTTTTTTCGTTAAAATGCTTCCGAAATATAGATACCATTTTTCTTTAATCATTTATCACTATGCAAGGCAATAAAGCCACTAAGACGCAATCGATTACTGAGAGGGAAAGGAAAAAATGCGAACACATTAGAGAGGAGAGAGGACAATAAAAGAACACGATATAAAAAGACAGAAGATGGCGACAGACGTTGCAAATAAATTTTTCAAGGGTCATAGGGGATCGAGAAACAAGAAACTGAAAGCGAATTGCACAGGCGAGATTATTTTTTTTCTTTATAATCAAAGTAATAATGCCACTAAGCCACAATGGGCTACTGGGAGTGAAACATAAGGAAAAGACTTTAGACAAAACCGGAAACCCAATCCTAAACAGGGAACAAGGAATAAACCTCTTCTCCTGCTCAAAAGACCAGGAAGTTGTATGAACCGGACTATAGGCGAAAGCGAGCAAAGAAGCTATTAGAATAAGACATACGGTTTCATTAATCAGTAAACGATGAAACCTAAATGTCAATCCAGTAGTAAGCATAAATTCAGGCGGTTGGCGCAACAAGGAGGAGAGCTCATTGCCATGAAGGTATTTACAGAAAAGACAGAGGGAAGTCACGTCAAGGCGGTGTGAAAGGGACTGAAGTCGAAATGTCAGGTCACGACCGATAGTATTACAGAACCTTTGGATCTTGACGAGAATCTCCGGTTACATAGCCAGAGCACCTGATTAGATATGACAGCCATATTCATTGCAGGGCCGAAAGAAGTTATCTGTCGACTATTATCCTAACTCTGAATTAAGACTTTCGTATGCTAGATTAGACTTTGGCTGATTTTGTTTAGCGGCATATAAACCTCTATGGGTTTTTTGTATTGCCTAATTCTAATTTATTTTGAACGCAATTGCATGGCTTCAACTACAGATAAAATGTATTGCTAGTAATTTTGCTATAAATATGTATTGCTAGTAATTTTACTATAAATATGTATTTTTATACTTGCATAGCGTTTTTTTTTTTTTGTGTTGGTGTTCACTATTTACCAGAGCTGGTATTCTAACAAGTGCTACCACCCCCACGTCAGGGTGGAACTGGGAACAACAGTAATTAAGTGTTGGTTCCACATTCCTCAAAACCACCAATTCCCCGATTAGTATCTTTGCTATTGGGCGTAGTTTATCGTCATACCCAAGACTCTAGATTTGATTTATATGCTTACAGAAAAGTTTCCACTGGAGAAAAGTTTTCTTAGTGTAAGAATATTTTTTATTTTTTTTTTTGCGATTGCCAATTTCATTTGAGATAATTATTTTATCAGATTCAAAACCTACCATTTAACTCTTTTCAGAGTGGTAGCATTGATTCAGCTACGGATAAAATGTATTGTTAGTAATCATACTTATTATAAAACCCAGGTTGTGTGTGTGTCTGTACGTTTATATATTGGATCGGATTTCCTACATTTTTCAACCGATTTCAACAAAACTTCACAGGACTACGTAAAATTACATTGCGGTTGTTCTGACAGCGCCAAAAATTGGAAAAACACAATTGTTTTTGCACAAAATCAATTTGAAAACACGATTAAGAGGCATCGCGAGAATGAAAGGGGACGACTCATATCAAGTTATACTTATTGAGTGTGTGTGTGTGTGTGTGTTCGTTTATATATGGGATCGGATTTCCTACATTTTTCAACCGATTTCAACAAAACTTCACTTTTTTGGGGAAGGTAATGTTTCTTATTGTCTTGCACACTTTTTTCTTTATTTTTACATTCAGAATGCTTTAAAAATTCCATTTACAAGACAATTGTTTATAAAAAAATTCTATTCAATCGGTAGACTCATAACGATTGAAAAGAATGTTTTTGTTTGAGTTTGGGTTTGACCAATTCGTAAAAAAAGAACAAAAAAAAAAAAAACTAATTAAGACATGCGTGTCCGTCAACCTTATACAACAATCTCTGTCAATTTTATTTTTCAGTCTTTATGATGGTCGATACTTGATCTATCTCTTACTGTTACATCCCCGGCAACGTCGGGCTCTACTGCTAGTATCACTATAAACAGATATTGTTCGTAATTTCACTACAAATATGCATTGTTGTTATTTATATATATATATATATATATATATATATATATATATATATATATATATATGTATGTATTACTTGTATTTTTACTATAAGAATGTAATTTATACTTACATCGTATTTTGTTTTTGTTTGAGGTTTACTATTTGTGCATAGCTGGGGCGCTAACAGTTGTACCTGATAAAATAATTGTTATCTCAGAAAGGGTCGATAAACCGTAAAAAATAAATCAGTCTTTCACATCCTCCATATACACAAGATTTAGTACGTACAGAATATATATATATATATATATATATATATATATATATATATATATATATATATAAATAGATATGCAGTAAACATTATTGCATATTTATTAGATAAGTATTTATTTTAATCATAATTATTTGCACATAGCTGCGGCGCTAACAGTTTTATCTGGTAAAATAATTGTTATCTCAAAATAAATTGTTAATGCAAGATTCACAAGAAAAAAAAATATATTCTTACAATCCCAAAACATGTTCCGGCTTTAAATATCACAGAAAGGGTCGAAAACCGTGAAAAATAAATCAGTCTTTCACATCTTCCATATACACCAGATTTAGTACGTACAGAATATTTAAAACAAAAAGAAAAGATATGCAGTAAACATTGCGTTTTTATTGGATAAGTATTTATTATAATCATTAAATTGTTTTGGAAATAGTTGCAGTATTTTATAAGGTAAATAATAAAACATTTAATTTTTCGACAAAAAATATCAATTGATTTCGGTTGGTTTTAGCGTTAAAACCTTTCTTTTTTTTTTTTTCTTTCTTATTGTTCTGTTTTCGCCTGGATGCCACGAAAGCACTGCTGATTCAAGTTCGATTTTTCTTTAAAAAAAAATAGAAATAAAACCGATTCCTTTGCTTATCTGGCCATCTCTCAAATTCTGCTCCTGACTTCAATCCCCGCCCCACAATCATGTTTTTCCGTCTCTCTTATTTCTCATTTCTTTCTTTTTTTCTTCTTTTGTTTTAGTTTTTATCACTTATACAACTTCCCAGTTGCTGCGGTCTCTCTCTCTCTCTCTCTCTCTCTCCTCTCTCTCTCTCTCTCTCTCTCTCTCTCTCTATCTATCTATCTATCTCTCTCTGTCCTTTCTTTAATCCCTTCTTTCTTTTTCATACTAATCTTCACGCAACACAAGACCATAAAGCCACCCAAGGAAAAGGTTTACTGTGTAGTATTGTATGAGCGTAAGATAGATAGATAGATAGATAGATAGATAGATAGATAGATAGATATGAACAGACTGAGATAGATAGATAGATAGATAGATAGATAGATAGATAGATAGATATGAACAGACTGAGATAGATAGATAGATAGATAGATAGATAGATAGATAGATAGATAGATAGATAGATAGATACGGACTGAGATAGATAGATAGATAGATAGATAGATAGATAGATAGATATGAACAGACTGAGATAGATAGATAGATAGATAGATAGATAGATAGATAGATAGATATGAACAGACCAAGATAGATAGATAGATTGATAAGAACAGATAGATAGATAGATAGATAGATAGATAGATATGAACAGACCAAGATAGATAGATAAGAACAGATTGAGATAGATAGATAGATAGATAGATATGAACAGACCAAGATAGATAGATAGATTGATAAGAACAGATAGATAGATAGATAGATAGATAGATAGATAGATAGATAGATATGAACAGACTGAGATAGATAGATAGATAGATAGATAGATAGATAGATATGAACAGACTGAGATAGATAGATAGATAGATAGATAGATAGATAGATAGATAGATAGATAGATATGAACAGACTGAGATAGATAGATAGATAGATAGATAGATAGATAGATAGATAGATGAACAGACTGAGATAGATAGATAGATAGATAGATAGATAGATAGATAGATAGATAGATAGATATGAACAGACTGAGATAGATAGATAGATAGATAGATAGATAGATAGATAGATTGATAAAAATAGATAGATAGATAGATATGAACAGAATGAGATAAATAGATAGATAGATAGATAGATAGATAGATAGATAGATAGATAGATAGCAAAATCTTTCTTTCGTTGTTGTCTTTCTTTTTTTATTTATCACAGTATTTTCCTTTCCGACTCTGTCAATTAATTTTGTCTGTTTTTTTTTGTTTTTTAATTCTATTTTGTGCTTTTTTTTCTTTGGTTTTTCTTCTTCCTCTACTCCCTGTCTTTCCTTCTTTTTTCTATTTTCTATCCTTTTCTTATTTTCTTCTTCTTCCATTATTGCTTGTCCCTCTTTTACTTCACTAAACCATTTTACTTAGTCAACTTTATTTCTCCCTTTCTTAATATCATTTTTTATTATTTACGTTCCACTTAATACTTTCTTAACTTCCATTTTTTTTCATTTTATGGCTCCTATTTCTTCGTTACAGGGTGACCCCCAAAAAACGGGAACTTTTTAACAATCCAATAAAACCAAGAGTGGTGGAAGAAAAAATATTTTATTCATTGTAATTAAAACCTTAAAACATGCCATTTAAGAAACAATGATGGAATTTTCAATTTTTAAAAAATTACGTCCTGTAGATGGCGTCATCCTGTACGAATGCATTCTTGAAATCTGCTGTTGAGATTCCTCATTGACTGCTGCAACATCTCAGCTGGGATACTGTGAATTTCATCTTGAATTCTAAATGGCGAAATGTTTACTTGCTCAAGGTCACTGTCTCGCAGTGTTGCCACTTCTCATGTCTGGCAATACGCACTTCAAAAATTCTTGTTTTTTTTAAGGTCACCAAGTATTTTGCTTTTCTACTTTATTTCTTTTAACTTCTTTCTTTTTCTCTATTTTTCTTTTGTTTTTCTATTAATTTACATTCAATATTTCCTGTTTTCTCTTCTTTCTTCATTTTTTTTCTTTTTTTACGTCTTCTTTCTTTATTAAGATTTTATCTCTTTCTTACCATTTCAATTTTCCTCTCTCAATATGTGTCATTTTCTTTCGTTCCCTTTCTATTTTTCGCATTCAGTTTTTTTTGTTTTTTTTTCAGTTCCTTCATTTTTATTCTTGTTATTTATATTTGCTTTTTACCAACATTCATTTTTTTCTTCTTCACTTTCTTTCTTTATTTTTTCTTTTTGGTTTTCTGTCTGTTTCTCATTTCGTCCATTTTTTTTTCTTTCTTTAATAAGCCCTTTCTTCTGTTTTCTTTCTTTCTTTTATTGCTAACAATATCTTACGATTTGATCTTTTTTTTTTTCAGCATTTCCAATTTTTCTTTCATTCACATTCTTTCTTACATTCCTTCTTACTATCTACCATTTTTCTTTCTTTCAATCTTTGATCTTGTTTTCTTCCATTGATTGATTTTTTTTTTCTTTATTTCTGTCTGTGTTTTTCATTTGAATTATCTGTTTCTCTCTGCCATTAACAAACGCATTTCACACATTCTTTCTTTCTTTTTTTCTTTCTTTTTCTTCTTCTTACTATCTCCGATTGTATTTGTTTCATTTATGCCTGTTTCTTTCTTTCCTTCGTTCCTTTATGGATTTATTCCCCCTATCTTTTTTTCCTTCTTTTCTTTCTGTCTATCTTTTTTAGTCTAATTGTTTTACATTATTTCCATTATTCGGACTATTGTCCTCATCTTTGTCGCCATATTTATTAAAGCATTTCGGCTGTTGTACGCTTCGGGCTTTTTCAGGTGGTTGGAATATCGAACTTAACCCTTTATTTCGCTCACTGCGGTAGACTGTTCTAGTTCCACGTGCCATGTTTAATGGATGTCATTTATCAGTTATCATCTGTTAATTTCACTCTGAAAGTTCTCCACTGCCGGGTATTGAACACACACTCTTTGGGTCCTAACCAAGGCCTTTCTCCACTGTGCCATGTGTCCTCAAGGACATTCCAACCACCTGAAGAAGGTCGAAGCGTACAACGGCCAAAACGTTGTAATAAATATGGCGACAAATTTGAGGACAATAGTCCGAATAAAGTAAATAATGTCCATAATACCTCATCTCAGAAATATAGACAGATACTAATTTATTTTTTTCTCTCTCATTAATATACGGATTTCCTGCATTCTTTTATTCTTTCTTTCCTCCTTTCTTAACATCTTCTTTTTTCTTTCCTCGTTTTTATTTTTTTCATTCTTTCTTTCATTCTTCATTTCTTTCTTTCAGCCTATATTTTATACTTCAATGATTTTTTTTATTTTCTAACATACAAATTTCCTGTTTTCTTTCTTTCTCGTATTCCTTCTTTTCCTCTTTCCCTTCTCACCTATTTTTTTCTGTCTGTTTTTATTTAAATTGTTTATTTATTTATTTCCTTAATTCACGGATTCTTTGTCTTCTTTCTTTCTTTCTTGCTATCTTTCTTTTTCTTTCCTCGATTTTTTTTTTATTTTCTTCATTCTTTCTTTTATTCGTTCGTTCATCGATTCTTTATTCTTTCTTTCTTTTTCTCTCATTCTTTCTTTCTTTTTTCTTTCTTTCTATATTTTATATTTCACTGCTTTCTTATTTTCTAACATTAACATAAGGATTTCCCGCTTTCTTTCTTTCATTCTTTCTTCCTTTCTTTCTTTCTTTCTTTCATTCTTTCTTTCTTTCTTTCTCGCATTTCTTCTTACTATCTTCCTTTTCCTTTCTTTTATTCTCTGTGTTCTTTCTTTCTTTATTTGTTTCCTTTTTGGTCTCATTGATTCATTCCTCTTTCCTTTTTTACCTCATTTTTCCGTCTGCTTTTTGATACCAAGTATTTATTTATTTCATTAATGCACAGATTCTCTGCATTCTTTCTTTCTTTCTTTCTTTCTTTCTTTCTTTCTTTCTTTCTTTCTTTCTTGCTATCTTTCTTTCTCTTTCCTCGTTTTTATTTTTTTCTTTCTTTTTTCTTTCGTTCTTTCTTTCTCTTTCCTCGTTTTTATTTTCTTCATTTTTTCTTTCGTTCGTTCGTTCGTTCTTTCTTTCTTTCTTTCTTTCTTTCTTTCTTTCTTTCTTTCTTTCCTTTTCCTCGTTTTTATTTTCTTCCTTCTTTCTTTCTTTCGTTCGTTCTTTCTTTCTTTCGTTCGTTCTTTCTTTCTTTCTCTTTCCTCGTTTTTATTTTCTTCCTTCTTTCTTTCTTTAGTTCGTTCTTTCTTTCTTTCGTTCGTTCTTTCTTTCTTTCTCTTTCCTCGTTTTTATTTTCTTCATTTTTCTTTCTTTCGTTCGTTCGTTCTTTCTTTTTTCTTTCTTTCTTTCTTTCCTTCTCTTTTCTCGTTTTTATTTTCTTCCTTCTTTCTTTCTTTCGTTCCTTCTTTCTTTCTTTCGTTCCTTCTTTCTGTCTTTCTTTCTTTCTCTTTCCCCGTTTTTATTTTCTTCATTTTTTCTTTCGTTCGTTCGTTCTTTCTTTCTTTCTTTCGTTCGTTCGTTCTTTCTTTCTTTCTCTTTCCTCGTTTTTATTTTCTTCCTTCTTTTTTTCTTTCTTTCTTTCTTTCTTTCTTTCTTTCATGACTTGTTATTATCTTCTTTTTTATTCTGCTTCATTTTATATTTTATTTGTTCGTTCATCGATTTTCTCTACCTTTCTTTTTTCCTTGATTTTTTTCTATTTCAAATACCTCTTTCTTATTTCGATTAACATACAGATTTTCCGCTTTCTTTCTTTCTTTCTTTCTTTCTTTCTTTCTTTCTTTCTTTCTTTCTTATGTAGTCTATTTCGTCTCTGCCTTTATCGCTCCTTTTTACTCTCTCTCTATCCCTTCTCTTCCGATCTATCTTTCTCTCTTTTCCTTCCCTTCCTACACACTCTTACTTCCTATCCCATTTATGTTCCTACTCTCTACTCCTCTCCCTTTCTCATCTTATTTCTTCTTTCCTTTGTTTATGCATCCAGGCTTTCTTTTAAGTAATAGATGAAATAGAACAAGCTACCAATACGATCCGGAAACCTCGCAGCCATTATATTTACATCGTTCCAAAGCTGTGACCACCTGCCAACGTTCAGACTGCATACAAAGGACACCTGCCGTGACAGATCCCTTTCTGAGACCTGTGATTTCCTTTCCTGACTAAAAAGGACACTTCTTCGAGGACAAAATCGACATCAAGACGACTGATTCCCAACCA